CATCATTCTATATTCACCATCTGACATTACGGTGAGTACAGTGAATGCACCCAGACTATGGACGGTAAACCATCGACAGATCTATAACTTTAAAGGTGGACTCTGCCGTGGACTGGAAATTGCTTATTTACCACTCCAGTGCTGCAACCTCCATAAGACTTTGTGCACTTTTGGGAGTGTTGGGTGCCTGTGTCCCCTGTGCTGCGCACCATGGTTCCTTCCACTGACCCCCTACGTCAGGGGTAGCCAAACTCCGGCCCTCCAGCTGTGGTGGAACTACAAATCCTATGAGGCATTGCAAGATTCTTCCAGCCACAGACATGACTCCCGGAGAGAGATGCATCATGGGATTTGTAGTTTCACCACAGCTGGAGGGCCGGAGTTTGGCTACCTCTGCCCTACATCAATACTGGACAGAGCAGTGACATAAGGGATGGGGTATGTAATCGCGGTGCGGCGGGGGATACCGGCATCTGACATTGTTGGAAGTGTTGAAGAGTCTTATGGAGGCTGCAGGGCTGGAACAGAGGAATGGCAGAAGACGGGTCCCTAGACAGGTGAGCACAATAATTGGAAACTTTCAGCAGGTTTTATATTATAACTGTCAGGATCACGTTGTCCGGTTGTGATATGACATGGACCAGCACATATTTGGACTTTAAAGAACATCTTTAGAAATTCCAAATGTTAACCCTTGCAGCGGGGCTACCCCTGCAATGCAAGGGTTAGGTGCTCATTTTGTCTAGGGGCACAAATAAAGAAAATATACTTACCTGACCCTCGATACCTCCTGGCTGCTAGAGTGGTCTCCCCAGCCTCTCTTCCCCCGGACTCCAGTGGTCTAAGCCCCATTGACGCCATCATGTCTGTGCAAAGACCATTCACTTGCATTAGATGTGAGAATGCCAAGGGATATAGCACAGTTGGAGCAGAGGGGGAGAGAGGTGAGCGGTCACGGCCACAGGATCGAGGATCAGGTGAGTGTGTCTTCATTACTCTGCTCCCTAGACCAAAACGAGCAAAAGTTAACCCTTACAGTGGGGCTACCGCGGCACTGCAAGGGTTAACTTTTGAAATTCCTATAGATGTTCTTTAGAAGAATGGCGCACCTTTGGGACCATGTATTATGTTACACCCTTTATGTTACACCCATATTTAGGGTGTAATATGAAACATGGCTGCATCCCCCCCTCTTTCAACCCACACTTTCCTGAATTGCAGGTGCTTCTCCCTAGAGCATCCCTGTTACTGTTTGCTGGAGCATCATCCATTCACAGATCCATTCATAGGGATCCCATTCATAGGGATCTGTGAATAGGAAGCCTACAAGTCCCACCTGCCACTGCAGCAGAGGGACTCATGGGTCACACCCAGAGCTGCCTTTCCCACAAGGTCAACCAAGGACCGGCCTCGGGGCAGCATGGAGCAGAGGGGCAGCAGGGGTGTGGAATTCCTATCTCCCGATGCCCGGGATGGTAGGGTGGTGCATTAAGGAACCTGGCCTTGGGGCAGCACAGAGAGTAAATCCGGCCCTGGTCACACCAGGAAAGTGTGGTGGTGTCACCACCCCTGCAGCCCATGGTTTACTGCCTCCAGCCTCATAACAGGAAGTCTGTATCTCCGTATGGCCCTGGGTCTGGAATATAAACAATGCATTCACTACATACTGATATGGCGGTTGCAACGCTCTGCAGGCTTCAATGCAAACATTTTAATAAATGCTCATTTTTATTTCATTGATGCATTTATTACATTTTGGGAAAAGGTGGACTGTGCTGCCACAATTGTAACTGTTTTCTTTTACTGAAGTTGAGTCCCCCGAATGATCAAAGTAATTTTTTCCAGGATGTGTGCACAAACAATGCCCAGACCTTGCCACCAGACGTGAATGGGAACGTTCAGGACGTCCAGCAGTTGCCGGTGGAGTGTCAGGAGCAACAACGGGCGTACTTTGAGCATACGCAGCACACGGGTTTGTTATCCAGTATGTATCGCATAGCAAAAGAAAAACTTAGTCCGAAACCGCCGAGGAAAAAAGTGAAAGAAGACCTCCAGGAATAAGTACAAACGCCTAATACCCAGCCAAAGTAAAACATTTAATGGAAAATATTCAACTTATTGTTGTACTTTGCTGTCTGTAGTACTTGTATCCCTCTGTTTTATATTCATTGTTTTCTTCACTGAAACTTCTGTTCAGCGAGACAGCCAGAGAGCCCATGGTGGTAGTTGTTATGAGACCTCACTGAGCACTGTAGGCAAAAAAAATTAAAGTGACACTAAACTCCGGAGTTAAATCTTAAAAATACATGCAAGTCCCCTAACTATGAGCAACAATGTATCTTATTTGTGTATCACTCGGCTGTAGATCCTCCAATCATCTCTGAATTGGTGCCGACACTGTCCTTCCTTCTGGAGGGGGGCTACTTGTGTCTCCCATGGTCCCTGTGTGTGTTGTAAAGTAGTCACCGATCCAAGCTCCTTCACGTGATGGACTACAATCTCAATACAAATCCGTAAACTAAATATGAGTTTGTAGTCCATCCCGGGAGTGAGCTTGGAGCGGTGACTACTTTACAACACACACATGGACCATGGAGAACGCAAGTAGCCCCCCTCAAAAAGGAAGGGCAGTGTCAGCACCAATTCAGAGATGATTGGAGGATCTACAGCCGAGTGATACACAAATAAGATACATTGTTGTTCATAGTTATGGTGCCCATATACCTTACAACCATCGCAAGACAAAAGGTTGTAAGCTAATTAAAAGCTCGTACGATCTGCCCATCTTGGACAGGCAGATTGTACTTGCGATCATCTAAAGCCTGCCCCGCTGAGGGGCGGGCTTCCGATGACCGCAATGCTGAACGGGCAGTGTGCGGCGGGTTTTCTAGCATGCTCGTTCGACAAAAGATGTGCGACCATACAGTAGAAACGGTCGCACGCCTTCCATACACCTTGCGATTATCATACGATTGCGGGATTTCCCACGATTATCGTACGATAATCGCAAGGTGTATGGGCACCTTTTAAGGTACTTGAATGTATTTTTAAGATTTAACTCCTGAATTTAGTGTCACTTTAATAGTAATAATAGTTACATAGTCAGGTTGAAAGTCCATCGAGTTCAACCTACAGAGATATAATAATAATGCTACAGAACATCTACTTATCTGTATCTGCATTTTCTTTCTGTGTGCAGTGTTTGGTAAAACAGTATTTTTCCTGTATCGTCAGTTTCTGATTGGTAACAATAGTCTTCCAATAAGAAGATGGCAATGGTTGGTGGCCTACTATCTGCTATGGGGGGATGGAGGTGGAGGAGAGAATCCCAGGGGGAGAAAGAACTAATGACTGGGGATGCCCAATTGAAATACCTTAAAGGAGAACTATGGGGTCAGTGTTTTCCCCCATAGTTCTCTTTAGGGTCACGGGAGGACATATACTAACCTCCTCACATGACCCTAAGCTCAGTGTATAGTGAGCTATTGCCTGCGATATACTGACAGTGCCGCAGCCAGGACGGATCCCGACAATACTGTTGAGTTCCACCCACCTGCGTGAGTGACAGCTGGCTCTGCCTATCTAGAGGCAGACCCAGCCGTGCCCGCCCCTCCCCCGTTCGTTCCTCCAGTCAGTGCTGGAGGATCGGAGAGGGGAGGGGGGGAAATCCCTGCAGTGAGCGATGAGCGTCAGTCAACGCTCACTTCAGGGAGACGATCGGGAAGTGAGCAGATCGGTGCCTGTTTTTGCTCACTTCCCGATCAATAGAGCCGACCTGTGACTGCTTCTTTGTCACAGGTCGGCTCTAACTATGAGGATGAGTGAAAATCACTCACCTTATAGTTCTCCTTTTAAGGATCTTTGTTGGTGAACCTTTATTTGCTTTAGATGGGTTTTGCTTCCCCCAAAAAAGTCTGAGGATGCAAAACCTACATGAAGCAGGTCAAGTTCAAGTCAATAGGAGGTCAAGTTTGGGTGAAATGCACCTGTAGATGAATTCTGAAGGATCTCTGAAGCGTCTTGATTTTTTTTAATTCTTTATTTATAAACAAAAGGGTGGAGTACAGAGTGCAAACGAAAAATATAGGGGCCACATGGCCTCACACCATTCACAGTCCACAGACCTGACATCAAGTAATAGAACGAGGAAAGTGAGACCAGCTCAGCCGGTGCTCTGGTCTCACGATATACCAATGTCTGCATCAGGATAGATCGGTCTCTCTGCCCCCCATCCCTTAAAGTGACATTAAACCCTCAGATGTTTTAACATAAACCAATACTGTAATGTGCGCCTTACTGTAATCCATGGTTGTTTCCCTTCTCTTTGCTGCTCTTCCTTTTAAATCCTCATGTCTTCTCATGCTTGGGGAGAACTTCCCTTTGCAGCTCAGGGCCTCTTCCTGTAGTGCTGGCTCAGGTTACAAGCCTATACAAACCTATACACGGACACCATATATCCATTCCTGAGACAAGGCAGTCTGCTGCAAAACAGAAGTTCTGCCCAGCATGAGAACAGATACAGATTTAAAAGGAAGAGCAGCAAAGAGAAGGGAAACTACCATGGATTACAGTAAGGCGCACATTACAGTATTGTTTTATGTTAAAAAATCTGAGGGTTTAATGTCACTTTAAGGCATTTTGTAGTTCTAAAACCAGAAAGGAAACATCACACCAAGTTAGACCACATGGCTCAGCCCAACAACAGGAGCGGCCAATGCCATATCGGTCCACCCGTGAAGAGTACACAAAGACAGACAAAACATACAACATGAAACAAGGCAACAAAGAGGGAAACAATACCACTCAGAACAATGGGCAAGACAGAAAAAGAGAGAGACCCCCGGTCTCCGTCAGTTCCAGGATGTCCTGAAGCGTCTTGATTTGATGCCATCCATACAAGCCCAAAGCCTGCCAAAAAAAGTCCCTTTTTGTGATATTTTGGGAGCCGGTGGAGAAACACAATAACCAGAAATGTAATCGCCGTCTCTAAAAAATAGAAGATGAAGCCAAATAAACCCAACTGGTGACCACCAAAAATTTGGAGTAGCTGTACTTCTAACATGGCATAGTAGCAGCAAGCCAGGCGAAGAAACTAGCCTGTTGGCACCTCAGTGGACATATTTTTTGATTTCCCGAGCTTCCTAAGAGGAGCTTTTCACTTTTATGGTAACCTGACCATATCTGCCAGCAATGACTTGAGAATTACAGCGTGTTCATTGATAATAAAACTGATTTATCACTTAATGAAAAGTGAAGCAAATTGCTTGGCCAGGAAGCATGATTCAAACATTACGCCGCCATCCAGTATTTACCTTTCTTTCTATAGGATTGGAACCAAAAGCGCTGAAGCCAGCGAAAACCGGGAGGAAGAGGATTAACCCCTGCTGCTCATAATTCACATCCTTTAGTGAAACATAACGTTCCCAACCAACTATTAATCAATGGTACAATGCGGGGAGGGAGAAAGGGCTGCCGATGAATTACTATCACACAGTGATTCATATCTGTGTTCGGATCTGTAGATTACGGTGTAAAAACGTTTAATTAATCCCTAGTTATCGATTGCCCAGGTATAATGCTTTGATGTTTTAAGTCAGATAATAGCAGATATGAATCTACCTACGCGCCATGCCAGCTGACGTCTCCAGGAATAACATTTGCATGGCTGCCAATTGAGTCAGGCCTAACCTGCAATGGTCAGCAGCAATCTTGACACAGAGTCAGCTCACGCATTTTTGTTTTGCATGCCATACGGCGGCCGCGCGCCTCAAACATGGGAGACAAAGAAACGGTTCTTGCGCTCGGCATATCTCACGCCTATCTACATATACTTCTGTATTCTTTAAGGCATTAAAATTAGGTTACAACAATAAGTCCATAGATTTCAGCTGTGTCTGCAACACGTTTCGACCTTGCCTGGTCTAACCCTCGGGCAGGGTCGAAATGCATAGTGGACTTGCAGCCTGCTTTGTGGACCTATTGATGTCAGGCTGTGCAGAGCCGGTGTTCTATCGAAAGCTCCAACTCGTCGAAAAGCTCCAACTACTTCACTGCCGGGTACTTGTAAGTTGGAGATTTTCGACCACACGGCGTTAGACTGCAAAACACAAAGACTGACGGAGCTCTGTACAATATTCAGCAGGTGGCAAACTCGACGGGTATTCTGAAAGCGCGCAACTGTACGGAGCTCCAGTCTTTCTGAGCACTGGAAGTGAGGCAGTTGGCTATCTCGATGAGTTGGAGCTTTCGATAGAACACCGGGAAAGGCTCTGTGAAGCTCCTCCTTGACTCTGATGTGCAGTGTCATGTGATGTTCACCGCTTCATTTCTCTACTTTGCATTTTGTTTTTATATCTTGAGTGTCTACCTCTTGTCACGCCTCCTGACCAATCATTTCAAGGCAAGGCAAACATGGGGACGTGATTTTGTAGGTTCGGCTACATACTGGGGGAGGTGTGGTGGTTTTGTGTGTCCCTGGATTTCATTTTGAAAATCTAGTAACCTTAAAAAGGAACTCCAGGAATTGAAAATACTTACCTTTGCAGTGGGGCTACCCCCGCACTGTAAGGGTTAAATGCTAATTTTGTCTAGTGGGCTCAAATAAAGCAGATATACTCACCTGATGCTGTCTCACACAGTGGTCATGGCTCACCTCCATTGACTTGCATTAGACATGGAATGTCTCTCGACGTCTTCACGTCTAATGCAAGTCAGTGGACCTGCATAAGACGTGATGACATCATAGGTCCTTAGACCCCCAAAGCCCAGGGAAACAGAGGCTGCTGGAACTGATCTAGCAGTCCAGCAGGACTTAGGATCAGGTAAGGATATCTGCTTAGAGTCCCACAGACAAGACAATCAGTCAGGGCCATAACTATAGATCACAGACCCCCATCACAGAGCAAAAATTTGATGGGGCCCTCCCTGACAACCTCTCTCTGAGCTGTGAGCAATGATGCCAAGATCCCCAAAACTCCTCTTGTGCATCCTAAGTCATCTCTACACTGTGGACTTGACAGGGGATCAGAGTTGTCGTCAACTGCAAACACTCCCACCCTTAATAATACAGTATTGTATTATCTTTATACATTCTATTTTTAATTTGCCTGAATGACCTAATGGGGCCCCCTTCCACCTCCAGGCCCCTTAGCAGCCACCTGGGTTGCTATGGCTATAGTTACGCCACTGCAATCAATTAACCATTGACTCCGATGCACCTCCATACCCCCTTCTGCACCAGAATGAAGGGGGAAGTTTTGTGAGCGATTGCGGTGCGTTCCAGCAGCTCCCACTCTGTACGCAACGCAATTGGTGTGAACAAGCCCTTAACTATACATTATACACAACAACAGTCCTGACTGGTTACTTTTGGCAACAAGAACATATTTTCTTTCTGAGACTTTTATTGGTGATGTCCTTTGTGTTTATATGAGAGATACATGGAAGGTTTGTCTGTCAGATGAACAGTTGGGGAACGGTAGGTGGCTCTGTACATTTAATGAGTACTGGAGGGGAGCGGAGGGGACTTAGCAGGCGGAGAAGGTCTTCCAGAAGAAGTTTTTGCACATGCCCTTCTCCCGTCCCATGTGTGGGTTGTACATGGATCTCTGTGGTCTGTGCTGCAACTCCGGATCCTCGTTGTTCATCATGGTGTCCACGTCGGCCCACGGTGACGCCCAGTCCAGTATGGCCAAAAGTACATTGACCAGGTTGTTTTTCTTCACCTCATCTATTTCCTGCAGGAAATAAACATATCAAATGAACGTTGACCCAAGACGAACAACTTCATTCAAAGACCTAAAACTGAGCTACAAGTTAGATTATATGATGCCAAATGTTTTTTTGGGATAGAATAACAAATTGTTAAATTTCACCACTTTATTTGTGTCCTAGTGGGGAGAGTGCACTTCCTGTCCTGGAGACATAACAGGAAATGAGAGGAAAGCTTTGCAAAGTGAGGGTAAATACTCTTTTAGTTGTCAATGAACAGGTGTCCTCATTGGAAGATTTCCCCTCACCTCTTGTTCCAGTGACAACTGTATCATTTTCAATTTCCTATTACTTTCCATTCCGGTGACATCAGGACACACTGAGGGAGAATTTCCTGATAGAGCAAATAAAATTTTTTATTGTGGGTACCCAGTTCTACAGGTGCAAATCTTTTTAAGGGGAAAATTCAGGCTTTGACCAAATTTATTCCCAAACCTCCCTCTCTCTAAATCATCTCCCAGCATTATCTTTTTATTTTACCTTGTTCCTGTAGCGGGAAACAGCTTTTAATACGCTTGTGGCATTATCATGCTTGCAAAATTCTCGCAGGGCCAGCTGCTGAGAGCTCCCCAGAATTACAGCTCCCGAGAGCTCTTTCCTTAGGCCCTGTTCACACCTTTACGTTTTGTCGCGCGTTCAACGCTCTATGAACGCTCTACAAAACGTACAAACTTGAAAATCCCATTGTTTTCTATGGGTATGGTTCACACCTTTCCGTATTTCAGCCCGTCTGAACGCGCTACAAAACGTCCTACGCCCAAAGAAGTACATGTACTTCTTTGGGGCGTTTTGGTCTCGCGTTTCCATTGGGATACAGCCAAGTAGCCCTCGGAAACGCGCGTTTGTCGCGTGTTTTTTTTACCGCGAATCACGGTAAAAACGCGCGACAAACGCGCATATTCAATACGCCTAGGTGTGAACCCAGCCTTACACGCAGTGTGTGGGCAGGAGCCAAGGGAGCGCCATAGATTTCCTAGAAAAGGATTCAATGTAGGCATGTGAAAGGGGTAGAGAATAGGCAGGGCTGACAATGTTGCTGGTGATGTCATTGCAGAATTGGTATTGTGTTGTCAGCCTAAACAGGAAGTTAGGAGCTCACTGGATTATTATTATACAGGATTTATATGGCGACAACAGTTTGCGCAGCGCTTTACAATATAAGGAAGACATTACAATCACAATACAATTCAAGACAAGATGGTAAGAAGGGCCCTGCCCCTGAGGGCTTACAATCTAAAAGGGAGGGGCCAGTGATACATGAGGAGGTAGCTGTGTGGGGATGAATTGAATGAGAAAGTGATAGTTCAGTGGTTAGGTTGAGGTGGGATAGGCTTCCCTGAAGAGATGAGTCTTAAGGGATCGCCTAAAGGCAGTCAGTGTGGGAGATAGACAGACAGGTTGGGGTAGAGCAGCGGTTCTCAACCTGTGGGTCGGGACCCCTTCGGGGGTCGAATGACGATTTGCTAGGAGTCGCCCGGAAGTCTCCTGCTATTAGATAGCGGCTCCCGGCCGCCTGGGAGAGAAACACTTTCTCCCGAGCAGAGTAAACCTTTTTTGTCTGACATTGGGGGCCGTAGGCCGCCGTAAGTCAGAAAAAAAAAACACCCTAGGAATGCATAGCTAGATTCCTATTGGCTACTTCACTTTGCAATAGCCAGTAGCAAACTAGCTATTGCACCCGCCCTCTGCTGCTGCCAATCAGCAGAGGGGGACCTGAAGTTCTCCATCAGGTCCCCCACTACTGATTGACAGTAGCAGAGGGCGGGTGCAATAGCTAGTTTGCTATTGCAAAGTGAAATAGCCAATAGGAATTTATTTTGATGGCGTACACCAGTGGTTCTCAACCTGTGGGTCGCTGTGTGATTTCTGCTGTGCTAGGTGAGAGTCCTCCTCAGCCCTCTCCCAGCGCAGCAGTGTCAGTTCTCCCGCCAGATGTCGCTGCAGCAGCCGCGTCATTCCTAAATTTTACCGTTGGGGGTCACCACAACTTGGCAAATGTTACCAAGGGGTCCCGGCCCTAGAAAGGTTGAGAAACCACTGGGGTAGAGAGTTCCATAGGATGGGAATTTCTGGCAGATCAACAGTCATTTAAAGGGACAAAAGTACGTGAAATGCGCAGATTTTTTTTTTGCCTTGACATACCCGGTTACTCGATGGACATATTATTTTTTTTTCTAATTAAATATAACTATAGCACATGGTAATGCAATACGTAACGGCAGAAATGTTTTTATATAACTAAAATGGTATTAAAGGTTCTTTTACAAAAAAATGAACTTTTGTTTTAGATTTACTGATTTTAGGGCCAGTACTTTAAAAAAAAACCCCTCCAGTTTAACAGTTTAAACCAATTCCCGAGCCGTACGGAAAAAATAAATGATGACAACTCGACGTTTGATTTAATTTCCCGGCTGCCAGGCAAGTTAATATACGTTACATTTGCGAATCGCGCAGCTAAATCTTCGGCAAATGGATCTTTTTTTTTTTTCCCCCCAGACGCGCTCGCTGCCTTGATTTAAGCCCGTGGCATTTGATAAAAGCGAAATAAGATAATTTTACTTTTCTCTCTTCCTTTTACACAGATGTTAGTAAAACGGGACAGAGAGAACAAATCAAGGGCCTAATTATTCTATGGCCCCATTATTTTTGCGTGACATCAGTGGTTCTTTAAAGACGGGGGCCCTAACCTTTTCTGCATCACTCTACGGGCGATTTGGAAGAAAATGACAGATTCTGACAGATAATGTACTGCCAAGCTCCGAGGCTGCACTTCTGCGTACGATTTTAATGTAATAACCTGCTTTAATGGTTACATTTATGGACTGTTTCCTGGAACTTTTTCAAGAAAAAATGGGAAAAAAAAAAGAAGCAAATGAATCTCTGAAATAGGAGCCTGTAAAACAGAGGGGATTTAATTAACTGCGCAGGCCGCAGCCTGTGTCCAAATGCGCGATTCCATCTTTCTTGCATAACTTTATTTCAGCATTGATTTCCTTTCAATTCACCTTGGTTTTATTTCTGATGCAGTCTCCTATTAGGTTAGACGTATAAAGGCACTTAGCTGAGAGTGGCCATGTTGTACGCCGTTGTCTGTGCAGGCAGCCATAGCTTCTAATCCGGCTTTTTTGTTTGAATGTGGAACGAGGTCCCAAAAGGCATATTTATTGGAATAATGCTCCCAGAAATAAAACAAAGAGGCTTAAAGCTGACCTCCAGGCATGCAGCTAAGTACACAGTTGAAATCGGACCAGGTTGAATGCACTTGCTTACAGCCAGAAAGAGGTATTCACTAGAGATCAGGCTGGGCTTGCCATTTCAGCCAAGACCAATCAAAATGGTGACTGCCTCCACCTCCTCCAGACCCAATTAGTGGAAGCAGGGGCATTCCCCCCCTTTGTGACATTGCTGCAGGGCAGGGAATGCGCCTCTCCAACTGATCGGGTCAGGAGGAGGGGGTGGCAGTCACAGTTCTGAGTGTGCTTGAGCGAACTCAGGAGAAATGCATTCGCACCAACTCCTGCTTTATCACCAGTATCCACCCTCAGTCCTCTAACTGGACAGTGAAAGAGCAGCAGCAGACTGATGACATTGTCCCTCTGATGACTCCCCAATTTAGCATTTTCCCTGTCAATACATATGCATATAGCACACCTGATTAGCTGCCAGTCCTGACCTTCCCTCTCCCAGTCCCAGTACTGGGAATTGAGGCCGAGTCACATATAAGCAATTACACTACCGTAGTTCTATTAAAAACAATAATGCATAACTCTGGGCAGTTAAAAAGATCATTAAAATCTACTCTTCCCCAGCTGATAAAGGATCAGGTGCTTGCTTTGTTTAGGGCATGGGTAGGCAACCTTGGCACTTCCGCTGTGGTAAACTACAAATGCCACCATGCCTTTGGGAGTCATGACTGTGGCTGTCAGAGTCTGGAAATACATCATGGGGGTTCCAAAAAAGCTGGAGTCTCGAGGTTGCCTATCCCTGGCCTACAGGACGGGTTTTAACACACACTGATACTTAGCCTAATAATTACCCTGCAACAGCCATTGGTCCAGTCTTGTTAATTAAATCACTACAGCGTGGGCTGGCCCTCCTACCAACAGCCACATTTCATCTTGATGACACAGCCACTGGTCCTACATTGCATATATTAATGTGGGTGAGAGGGGCAGAGACCAGGCTGGTTGGAATTGGCTTCAGGGGACTGCCCTTCACAACCAAAACTGGCAGGGAGGAAGATTGTGGGACCAAGATTTAAATGAGTTTTAATTTATGCTAACCCATCCCGTAGACCAGGGGTAGGCAAACTCCGTCCCTCCAGCTGTGGTGCAACTACAAATCACATTAGGCATTGCAAGACTCTGGCAGCCACAGGCGTGACTCTCAGAGGGAGTTGCATGATTTGTTTTCTTAACTGCCCAGAGTTAAGCTTTAAAGTGACATTAAAGTCGAAAAATACCCCCAATGCTGCTTGAAGGACTTACTTTAAATGATGCCTTTTGATCCGATCATCATTTTCTTTCCAGTAGTTTTCAGGAGTCCCGCCAGCCCTGTTGCCGGTCTCCGATCCACAGAAGACTCCTGTCTCTTCCTGTCCCACGGAGTTTGCGGGTGCACACCGCCAGGCTGCATGCATTGACTTACCCTGCGTCTCTCGTCTTCCCAGGCGAACGATCTCTACTGCGCATGCAAGGACCTGAGAATCTTCAGGCTGCATTTCAAACACCAAAGGGCTGCATGTGACCCTTAGGCTGCAGGTTGGGCAACAGGGCATTAGACAGTTACATGAGCAGACCAATGACCAACTTATTCAATAAAGCAAAGCCAAGCAATCCATAGCAACCAATCAGAGCTCATCGTTCTCTGCTCTGGCTGCGAGATGCTGTTTGAACTGCATCAATGAGTTACCCTGTGGGTCTCTCTCTGTCGTCAATCACTGCTTACTATCCCTTCCTCTTTTGTTTCTTACATCCCCAATATGACGCAAGATGAATCAATGCCCGAATCTAGAAAACAAAAAATCGACCATAACAGGCGAAAGTACAAGAACGGCGACTGAGTCTCTGTGCTGCAAGCCCCACCGTCTCATCTGTACTCGCCTAGATCAATTGAAAGCAATAAAAAGCAGATGGAAGTAATAATGGGATTAAGGTCACCATTGATTTGTCATTATTGTACATCCTGTTACAGATATGTGTACGCTGCGGTGACATAAGAATATCTGCTTACACACATCAGTTCCTGAAGCAATATAGACCAAATAAGTTATAGAAAGCAATAAACAACTGTCTAGTAACAGAGTGCGCAAAGTTATAATGTGAATGTCTCTGACACGTACCATGCTGCTGCTGCTGCTTGCTGCGATTTTGTCTCGGCGGATGGGCACAGCCGATCGGACAGAGCAGAATGCCAGGAGCACAAGCAAAAGCTGAGCGGTGAACATGTCGGTGCGCGTTCGGTGGCTACGCTCTATTCGCAGCCTTTGTTATATTCACCTGGGTGCTCCCTCTTTATACAGTCAATGAAGGGGACACCCCAACCGTGACGCACAATCCGCAGCAATTATCAAAGTGGCTCCTCAGTGCGCCTACTGCTATAACTGAAGTAGGTGACGCGGCGGGAGGACAAGTCGCTTTTTTTTTCTTCTTGTAAAGAGCTAAATGAGTTCCGAATTTGATACGTTTAATTGGCAACTGAATAGGAAATCATCGCAGGCTTTCAGGACACAAAAAGCTTTTATCATCCGGCAGATTAGGTTTTGTGGAGATTTCTCGAATTCACCTCTTTTCAAAGAGATTATTTATAAGTATTGCGGTGCCAATGGAAGATGAAGACTCGGCACGAGAGAAGGATGAGGAACGTAATGCAAGCAGTATCATTTGCACACAAAAAAAAAGTTTAGGGGTATAAACTAAAAACAAAATGCTATTTAATTGGACAACTGCAACTATGTGAGTTGATAGCAGGGGGAACACCAATAATATACTGTTGAAATAAGGACCAATTCCCCCCTCCTTCCTGGGAATCAATTTATTTTATGACCTGTCCCCCCTGTAACTATACTGGAGTCACTGAGGGTCCTAGCTGCACTGGTGTCACCGACGGTCCTAGCTGCACTGGAGTCACTGAGGGACCTATCTGTATTGGAGTCACTGAGGGTCCTAGCTGCACTGGAGTCACTGAAGGTCCTAGCTATACTGGAGTCACTGAGGGTACTAGCTGCACTGGTGTCACCAAGGGTCCTAGCTGCATTGGAGTCACTGAGGGTACTAGCTGCACTGGAGTCACTGAGGGTACTAGCTGCACTGGAGTCACTGAGGGTACTAGGTGCACTGGAGTCACTGAGGGTACTAGGTGCACTGGAGACACTGAGGGTCCTAGCTATACTGGAGACACTGAGGGTCCTAGCTATATTGAAGTCACTGAGGGTCCTAGCTATACTGGAGTCCCCGAGGGCCCTAGCTATAATGGAGTCACTGAGGGTCCTAGCTATACTGGAGTCACTGAGGTTCCTAGCTGTACTGGAGTCACTGAGGGCCCTAGCTATACTGGAGTCACTGAGGGTCCTAGCTGCACTGGAGACACTGAGGGACCTAGCTATACTGGAGACACTGAGGGTCCTAGCTGCACTGGAGTCACTGAGGGTCCTAGCTATACTGGAGTCACTGAGGGTCCTAGCTATACTGGAGTCACTGAGGTTCCTAGCTATACTGGAGACACTGAGGGCCCTAGCTGTACTGGAGTCACTGAGGGCCCTAGCTATACTGGAGTCACTGAGGGTCCTAGCTGCACTGGAGACACTGAGGGACCTAGCTATACTGGAGACACTGAGGGTCCTAGCTGCACTGGAGTCACTGAGGGTCCTAGCTATACTGGAGACACTGAGGGTCCTAGCTATACTGGAGACACTGAGGGTCCTAGCTATACTGGAGTCCCCGAGGGCCCTAGCTATACTGGAGACACTGAAGGTCCCCTCAGCACATTTTTGTACATGGTTCCTTAGACTTTTCTGAAAACATAAACTGTATAAAACACGACATAGAATGGACCAGACAAGAATAACAAACTAATATTTTTTATTATTACAAAAGTGCACAAACGTATAGTTTTAGCTGAGAAAAAAATCACTGAATGTGATGACAGTAGAATACAAATATTATATAAACCATAAAACTATAATAATTACCAGTTACTATACTTTATATTTACACAGGGTACACAGTGCGTTCAGACCTGTCACTGGGGACGTTCCGAGTATTAGAAAAAATAAAATATCTAAATGATGCGACTGCTTCACTCCATGGCCGGCTCCTCTGTGTCCGGCATTGCAGAATCGCCATCCGATTGCCTCTTTCCCTTCCCAGCCACCACTGATTTCTTCTTCCTCTTCTTCTCTTTCTGCTCCTGGTTGTTGGAAGCCACCTCTTCACTGTATGAGCTGATGTGCGCATGCTACAATACAGAAGATGCGGCATTAGAGCAAGAACTATACCATTACCTCAATAATATAAAAGCTCTTTTGTTTTTTTTGAGCTGCTCCGGCAAAACTTTAAAATTGCAAGGCCCCCATCATACAGCTGAATTCAAAATAAAAGGATTTATTAACCTCCCTGGCGGTAATCCCGAGTGTGGCTCGGGGGTTAATTTTCGGTACCATAAGCGGTAACCCCCGAGCCACACTCGGGATTTCAGCGTAGCGTTACTTACCTTGTCCCTCGAGTCGCGCTGTGTCCTCCGGCCGATGCCGGCATCCGTCTTCCGGTTTCCGTCCCTTGCGAGCGTCCGTCTCGCAAGGGGGCGGAACCAGCGGGGATTTTAAAAGTTTAAATAACGAGAAAAAATAAAATAAAATGAAATAATCAGACCGCCAGGGAGGTTAAAAAAATAAATAGTTAACTTACACCCTAGTTTCCAAACTTGGTTTGGCAAGCATGACATTACTTGGCCTTCAATTGGGATCCTGGGAAAGAAGAGGAACCCAAATCTTCTGGAAAAAACTAATGAACAATGTCTGTAAAAAAAATAAGTCAAAGCAACTGGACTTGCTGTATTTTTCTTGAAGACTATTCACTGGTCATCCGAACAGCTTTCTCAATCCCCAATGACTTATACCATGACCTGGATGAATGAGAACCTTCACAGACTACTGAACAATGCATTCCCTCTCACAAAATTTGGGATCCCCAGCTTCACCAGAACCCTGGAAGAAGGCTCAAGGATGTCACCGGCATATAGAGGAAATAGGAAGAAGCTGGAGTGTAATGTCAGTAATGTTTACTTTATTTTTACTCCTACTTAGGCTTTTAATGGGGGATGGGGGGAAGGTAAAGGTGTACAAGAGACTTAAAAGACATGCAAGTCAGCCAGAACCAAGACTCAGGTTAAAGTGCACACAGAGACCCAACCCGGTTACCACCATACATGCACAAGTTTTAAAAGATATTACCAGCGATCGACTCCGCCGAGAAAGAAGTTTCACGTCGTCCACATTGATTGTGGATCTTTTTCCATGCCTGCACAAAAGAAAAAGGGACCTTTAAAGACTGGGAGTGAGAAGGTAAATTAAGATTAGGCATCATGGACATTTCTCTTGGTATAAGGAGCGCACCCATAGAGTTCCTGCCCACCTCTGCTTACATCAATGCAGCACTTTTCCTGATGCATTCTGTATAATACCGCGTTTCCCCGAAAATAAGACAGTTCTAGGTCTTATTTTCGGGGGATGTCTTACTTTCGGGGAAACACGGTAATATAAAACTTCAACAGAAGCGAGGTCCCTTCACCATAACTGTATCGGGTGTGTTTAGACCCGGGGTGCAGAGGTTTCATCACTGCAGAGGCATAATACCGTTTTAGAACTCTCCAATGGCTGCCACATGCTGAATGATTAGTTTGATCCCCTATGTTATGTACTTATATAAAAGGACTTGGATTGAGGTATTTGATATAATTTATCTTTAAGAAAAATACAAGATTTACTATTCCTCAAAAGTAGAACTGTGGTCAGGCTATGGACAAATATTTACTTATTCTTAACAAAAAGTAAATGAGCAAGCCCTCACTGACCTCTGTAGCTGCAGGCACTATGGAGTAATTAATCTTCAAAAGTTTACAGCACAAAAGTAACTTGGCAATCTGCCAGAGGTCTCTCTGCAGACGTCCGACACCCTGGCTGAGTCAGGCCTATAGCTCTGCAATCACCAGAGCCCTGCCTCTACCAAGATGGCCGTCTCCACGCAGCGACACAGCGCAGAACAAAAGCATGGCAAGTCAATAATAATGGGGATGGATCAGATTCTGGGAGACCACAGGCAATACTGGTAAAGCTGCCCTCTGTCTGGCTATTTGCCAGCTTGCAGAGTTCAGTGCCTCTTTAAATTTTGGGGGTAAAATAGAAGCTTCTCTACAAGACAAGTAAATTTCACCCACTACTGTACTGTACAAAGGAGCATTGAGGACTCTTGAGGAGAGCCAAGTGTGGCAGGCGCACAGGTGCGGGGAAGCAGAAAAGATTTGTTACGTTGAAGGCAATTTGCAGACACAAAAACCTCCGCATTCTATTACAGAAAGCTTTCCGTGTAGTTACAAGTGCGACACCTGCGAGCTCGGCGGACCCTAAAATCCGGTTTATCTGCTTCTAGGAGAAGACGAATTTATTCGGAACAATTCAGAGCCGTAATTATGGCAAATCTTCTGCCTACACCTGTCTGTAATTTCACCGCGCACAATTCATCCACGGCCCTTGGTAAACACGTCTCCTTTCATGCAGAGCAGAATTACTTCAAACATGATGTCAGCTTCCTATATTTTCTCTATCAAGTAGAATGGTTACCGCACTTCAGGAGAGAGAAAAACGAGAGGATGGAAAAGAGAGCGAGAGGTGAGAGAGACGGGTCAGAGGAGAGAGCGCGCAGAGGAAAGAGAGAGGGAGCGCAGGAGAGAGAGAGAGCGCAGGAGAGCGAGAGAGAGCGCAGAGGATGAGACAAGAGAGAGGTCAGAGAAGAGGAAGGTACAGAAAGAGAGAGGATGGAGACTAAAGAGAGGTGAGAGGGTCAAAGAAGAGAGAGATGTACAGAAGAGAGAGAGAGAGAGCGGAGGATGAGACAAGAGAGAGGTCAGAGAAGAGAGAGAGCCGAGGATGAGACAAGAGAGAGGTCAGAGAAGAGAGAGCAGAGGATGAGACAAGAGAGAGGTCAGAGAAGAGAGAGGGAGAGCAGAGGATGAGACAAGAGAGAGGTCAGAGAAGAGAGAGGGAGAGAGAGCAGAGGATGAGACATAAGAGAGGTCAGAGAAGAGAGAGCAGAGGATGAGACAAGAGAGAGGTCAGAGAAGAGAGAGCGGGAGAGCAGAGGATGAGACAAGAGAGAGGTCAGAGAAGAGAGAGGATGGAGACTAAAGAGAGGTGAAAGAGGGGGTCGGAGAAGAAAGAGATGTACAGAAGAGAGAGAGAGAGGAGGATGAGACAAGAGAGAGGTCAGAGAAGAGAGAGCAGAGGATGAGACAAGAGAGAGGTCAGAGAAGAGAGAGACAGAGAGGACGGTGACCAGAGAGACCTCAGAAAGAGAGAGAGGGGACGCAAGAGAGAGCTGGCTGGGCAGAGAAGAGAAAGAGGCACAGAAGAGAGAGGATGATGGAGATGAGAGAGAGGTCAGAGAAGAGAAGTCAGAGGAGAGAGACACAGAAGAGAGAGAGAGGACGGATACTAGGGAGAGGTCAAGGAGAGAGTGAAGGAAGAGAACAGCAAACAAATAAGCAGAGAGAAAAAGAGGAAACAGAAAAAGGAGAAAAGAAGAGGGGGATGTGCTGCAGCGTTCAAGTGCCAACAACTGACATGCTGATAGGAGGAAAGAGCAGAGTGGCAGAGAGATAAGCTCATCCGCCTGCTGCTTTTCTTCCACTGTCCAGCTGTAGGCTGGGGGAGGAACCTAGTTTATAACATGGGTGCAAAAATTGAAAAAAGGGCCTCAGTCATGAAGGGGTTAAAAAAGGAGTCAGGTCTCCAGGCTGGATGTGCCGTTTGATGGGGCTATGCAAATCTTACAAGTCAATAGACAGAAATACAAAACCTTTGGCAGATAAATCATCTCCCACACTGTATATCTGGATCATCTGTGTATTCAGCTGCTTGCCTGGAACTCATCTTTAAAGTTCTCAGCCATAAAAAAAAGTCTTCAATGGTTGTTCTGTAAAGTTTTTCTGATGAAAATGAAATCAGTATTACGGAGCAACGTTAACAATCCGCGCTCTTCATCTTCAGGAATCCGCCGCGATCAGGACAAGTAGGCCAGAAGGAGCAGTAAGGGAAAGCGTAATGCAAGTTATAATCTCCTCCTCACACTTACCGCGCAAACATCTCAAGGTCTTTTGCAAATGTTTCTGTAGAGTGAGAGAAAATGGAAATGAGATTTCTAATTAGAGGGACGGGGCAACTCATAATGAAAGATCTTGGAAGGACATCAAGATAAAGCACTTCACGTGAATCGCATAAAAAGGACAATGTGAGGCCGAGTCTTTGTGAGATAAAGGAATATATACGGCGGGGGAGAACATGAAAAAGGCGCCTTCCGACATCAATGGCAATTTTTAGAAATGGGGGAATATAAAAACATGCGCAGATAACAACAACAAAATCTTTAACAAAAAGCAGAAATAGTAGGAAGTGGTTTAACAATATTTATTACAGGTATATATATATATACACTGAGTGGCCGGATTATTATATACACTGAGTGGCCGGATTATTATATACACTGAGTGGCCGGATTATTATATACACCGAGTGGCCTGATTATTATATACACCGAGTGGCCGGATTATTATACACACTGAGTGGCCGGATTATTATGACTTTTGTGAAAGGGCCCTAAAGCTGGGGGGAAAAAAATACACTAGACGTGGCCCTACCCCAGCCCTTCAAGAGTTAACTGCTTGTAGGGTCTAGACCAGGGGTGAGCAGACTTTGGCCCTCCAGCTGTGGTGAAGCTACAAATCCTATCATGCATCCTTCTCTGGGAGTCATGCATGTAGCTGTCAGAATCTTGCAATGCCTCATGGGATTTGTAGTTCCACAACAGCTGGAGTTTTCCCACTCCGCCTTTATAAGGATCATTATATAATTCTTGACCCATACCAGACCAGGTACAATCTACGTCCTGTGAATATAAGACCCCTGTGAAGACCCCACTTACCACACTGCCGGAAGGTGGTCTCAGAAATTGCAGCGATGGCTTGTTTGCTGAACTGGATTTCCTTGTCTTCTGCCACCTCCTGACAGAGACATCCCACTGTGTAGTGAACGGCTGCCTTCAAACGCTGGGAATGGGGGGGAGAAAAAAAAAAAGATGTTTTATCGTATGCAGTTATATTCATCGCTGTCAAACACACCATTTATATATGTCTATCATATATATATTATTGTTGGAATGAACAATGCACACATACTGTACAGCCCAAACAGCATATAACACACACTGACCCATTAGAACCAGCAGAGGGCGCCCTACACAAGCAATTTGAATCATGCTCCGTGCCGCTGTGCATACCACACTCAGCCACTAGTGGCCGCTGTACATGCAACACTCAGCGACTTGTGTACAACATATCCGCCGCTAGGTGGCGCTGTGTACTCACTTAATACGTCAAAGGAGGCTCACGCTGTCTGCTAAGACACGGAGCCGATTTACATTATAAAGTGTTTGCCGAGCACGCCGGTTTCCGGTGTCCCATGTACCTGAATGCGCTGGAGTCTCAGCTCCGCATCCTCCGCCATGACAGACGCCTCTGTCCTCAGCAGTCACCAGGCTCGGTGAATTTTGCCGCCGAGATACGAACTACGGGCTGCGGAGAGGGGGCAAATCCTGCAGAAGGCGAAGCAGAGCGCGGGTGAAGCAATGTCACGTGATCAATAATGGTTGCGAAGTGGCGCAAATTGAGCGCAGAGGTGGCGCAAGGGAGAAGAATGACCAAAAAAAGGGTAGTGGGGGAGGGGAGAAGGTAATTTTAGGTGTTTATGAAGACAAGAAGCCAATAT